CACAAATTGACTGTGTTTTTCTTGTTTGGTAACTTGCAAAACTCAAGACTTTCTTTTCATGTACAGAAAAAAATCCCGTCCCAAAAATTGGGAAGAAAATAAAAATCCCGTCCCGTCCCAAACTAAAAATTCAATCCCGTCCATCCCTACTGATAACTAATTTATATTACAAGCACACATACCTCTGAGTAAAGAAAATTATAGAAATTAACTAAGCACAATAAAACACATTGCCTTGAATAACGGTTACACATCTGACATGATTGATAAACCGCACAGGAGGATTAAAAGGAAAGCCAATAATAAAATCGCCAAAGATAAAACTAATAAAAAATATGTGACATTAGAGTTCTGTAAACTGAACCAACGTCAACAACACAACCTTTTAGTAGGCGTGATAAGTGTGATAAGTAAACGGAATCAGGGAACCGCTCTTGCTTTTTACGAAACGAAATAGTCGTAGACTGAAAACATCCAAATTGGCACGGCAACTCTGCTAGAAAATCGAGACACTGTAAAGCGTTGTTATGTTGGTACCACAAGAAGAATCAATCAGCTCATTGGCTATTGGAAATTGCAATGCCCTAGTTCCAAAGTACTATGTGTGTGTAGACAGACACTGACAAGTGAAACTAAAACAAACTAGGCAGACGCAGGCGGCACAACGATTTAGACAATACGATTCCCAATCGACGCACGACTGTGGATTGAATTCATGTTTAGTATTTAATATGTTATTTAAAATTGTATTAACAGAATATACTACTGTATCGATCAATAAATTTAAAATTAACAAGTGTAACAAGTGTAGTGAGTCGGTGGCTCAGTCGGTAGCGTCGCGGACTTCGGGCCCAAGGCAGCGAGTCGTGGGTTCGGATCCTGGTCACTGTCGATAACATGATATCAGTACAGTTCACCTTTGTACTGTACCGGCTCACTCCTTGCTTTGCTGTAAGCGATCCACGCACGGGCGCTTAGCCTATGTGGACGGGCAAATGCAAGGTTAAAAGAGGCCGCCAACCTCTTTATTAAAAAAAAAAAAAAAAAATACAACCATGAACTAGACCCGAAAAACAAGCTTCATAATTTACAATGGGATGAGAAGGCTACTTGTGTTGTTTAGTCTATGGTTTAACCAGCTTACTTGGAAAATAAAACAACCGTGTAAAACCCTATTTCGTTTGCTTTAAATAAAATTTTACTTGAAATAACTTTAAATAAATAGGCGAAGCATATATTTTTGTTGTGGTAAAAAGTAAGTTAGGCATACTGTCACCATTTTTTTGTCACACCATCAGTACTTTCGTCTTGAGCTTACTCCTAACTTAGCTATATTTCAACATCTGTGATATTTTTTCTTTTTCCTTCACTCATCTAAAATAACATACCACGCACATTTTTGGACTTTGGACGACTTGGTTTTGGCGTTGGTGTAGCACAATTAAATAGGTGCCTATTACCTAACATAAAATTATGTTATGGATGAGGAAGTTTAATTGGTTTAAATAGACAAAAAAATTATTTTCATTTTAGACCATGGAGGTTGGGATTTTTTTATTTCTTGATTTACGGCAGAGAAATCTGTTCTACAGTAAATGACAGATCATTATTTTATTTTTCAGAATACAGAATTTTAACAGAAAATTGAAAAACCACTAACTAAAAATCTTGCTATACCAAGGCCTGGGTCATGAATGATACATTATGATGAATTATGAAAAAATATTCCCGATTTTCGGGACGGGATTTTGAAGCAGATTTTGCCGCTTCGCGAGTGACGATGACTCCGCTATCGCGAGAGATGTTCACGATAGTTCTGTGAATGCAGTTGGCAAAATCATTTCGACGATCGCACCAAGACCGCGAGTCATACCGATGATCACGCCGTGACCGCGGAGTCATACCGACGATCACGCCATGACTGCGGAGTCTGAGTCATACCGACGATCGCGCCGTGACCGCGAGTATCATGCCATGACCGTGGAGTTATACCGAAGATCGCGCCGTGACCATGAAGTCATACCGACGATCACGCCGTGACCGCGAAGTCAAGCCGATGATCATGCCGTGTCCGCGAGTCATACCACCGATTGCACCGTGACCGCAAGTCATACTGACGATCATACCGTGATCGCGAGTCATACCGACAATCATGCCGTGACCACGAAGTAATACCGACGATCATACCGTGCCCGCGAGTCATACCGACAATCATGCCGTGCCACGACTCATATCGCACCGTGACCGCGAGTCACAAGTTTCTATACCTGAAAATGTTTACCCATTTTTGGTTTTTGTAGATCAGTGCCACAAATTGACTGTGTTTTTCTTGTTTGGTAACTTGCAAAACTCAAGACTTTCTTTTCATGTACAGAAAAAAATCCCGTCCCAAAAATTGGGAAGAAAATAAAAATCCCGTCCCGTCCCAAACTAAAAATTCAATCCCGTCCATCCCTACTGATAACTAATTTATATTACAAGCACACATACCTCTGAGTAAAGAAAATTATAGAAATTAACTAAGCACAATAAAACACATTGCCTTGAATAACGGTTACACATCTGACATGATTGATAAACCGCACAGGAGGATTAAAAGGAAAGCCAATAATAAAATCGCCAAAGATAAAACTAATAAAAAATATGTGACATTAGAGTTCTGTAAACTGAACCAACGTCAACAACACAACCTTTTAGTAGGCGTGATAAGTGTGATAAGTAAACGGAATCAGGGAACCGCTCTTGCTTTTTACGAAACGAAATAGTCGTAGACTGAAAACATCCAAATTGGCACGGCAACTCTGCTAGAAAATCGAGACACTGTAAAGCGTTGTTATGTTGGTACCACAAGAAGAATCAATCAGCTCATTGGCTATTGGAAATTGCAATGCCCTAGTTCCAAAGTACTATGTGTGTGTAGACAGACACTGACAAGTGAAACTAAAACAAACTAGGCAGACGCAGGCGGCACAACGATTTAGACAATACGATTCCCAATCGACGCACGACTGTGGATTGAATTCATGTTTAGTATTTAATATGTTATTTAAAATTGTATTAACAGAATATACTACTGTATCGATCAATAAATTTAAAATTAACAAGTGTAACAAGTGTAGTGAGTCGGTGGCTCAGTCGGTAGCGTCGCGGACTTCGGGCCCAAGGCAGCGAGTCGTGGGTTCGGATCCTGGTCACTGTCGATAACATGATATCAGTACAGTTCACCTTTGTACTGTACCGGCTCACTCCTTGCTTTGCTGTAAGCGATCCACGCACGGGCGCTTAGCCTATGTGGACGGGCAAATGCAAGGTTAAAAGAGGCCGCCAACCTCTTTATTAAAAAAAAAAAAAAAAAATACAACCATGAACTAGACCCGAAAAACAAGCTTCATAATTTACAATGGGATGAGAAGGCTACTTGTGTTGTTTAGTCTATGGTTTAACCAGCTTACTTGGAAAATAAAACAACCGTGTAAAACCCTATTTCGTTTGCTTTAAATAAAATTTTACTTGAAATAACTTTAAATAAATAGGCGAAGCATATATTTTTGTTGTGGTAAAAAGTAAGTTAGGCATACTGTCACCATTTTTTTGTCACACCATCAGTACTTTCGTCTTGAGCTTACTCCTAACTTAGCTATATTTCAACATCTGTGATATTTTTTCTTTTTCCTTCACTCATCTAAAATAACATACCACGCACATTTTTGGACTTTGGACGACTTGGTTTTGGCGTTGGTGTAGCACAATTAAATAGGTGCCTATTACCTAACATAAAATTATGTTATGGATGAGGAAGTTTAATTGGTTTAAATAGACAAAAAAATTATTTTCATTTTAGACCATGGAGGTTGGGATTTTTTTATTTCTTGATTTACGGCAGAGAAATCTGTTCTACAGTAAATGACAGATCATTATTTTATTTTTCAGAATACAGAATTTTAACAGAAAATTGAAAAACCACTAACTAAAAATCTTGCTATACCAAGGCCTGGGTCATGAATGATACATTATTATTGGCAGGGGAAAAAGGAAACGGTGATATAAATAAGTAAACACAATCATATAACTTTTTATTTTTGATTAGACCTACATAGATTATATTTTTTGTAGGCTTGATTGGACTGTTGAATTGTAGCCTGTATATTTTTTTAATAACAAAATGCAAAATCTCAGTTATCAGAATTAAATTATAGAGTTTAAAAAAGTCATAAATAAATAATGTACTTTTTAAATGGTGAGTTGGGAAAATCTGAAAAAAAATTGTTGTTCAATTAGGCTACTTCTACGGTATTTTACTCATTAGGACTTTTTTCCTTGTTAGGAATCGATGGAATCGGAAATCAATTTGCAAGAATCAGTATTGGAATCGGAATTGAAAAAAAAGAGGAATCGACCCATCTCTAGTTTATTTATTCCCCATAAGAATAACATCGGAATTTTAAAATTACAATTATTTGGAATTTTCTCTGTAACCATTAGGCACATAATAACACTTCAACATACTAAATTATTTGTTTTTTAAGCTCTACAAAATTGTTTTAAAAGAAATTTTATGTTTTTAGGGTCAAAAATGGGAAAACCTTATTTTTACCCCATAAAACCCCGTTCCTATAGTTTGATCATGCTGGTTTGCGAACTCGTTCGAATAAATGTAGGTTTACACGTTTGTACCAAATTTCATCAAAATCTAATAATTTTTGCTCAAGTTGTCGTGCTAACGGACATACACACACACATATATATTTAAATATTATTTTATTTTACTGCATTTATGTATTATTATATGATTATACATATTATTATTCATATATATATATATATATATATATATAAATTTGAACGGATGGTGTGTTTTTGGCCTCTAGGGACCTCAAAACGAAAAAGTAAATTGGTCCCAGGTCCAGGTCTTACCATGAGTACTATGGAAATAGCTAATTCCCTATATGGGACATCCGCTAAAACGAAGCTACAGAGGCTCGGCTCTAGCAAACACTAACCTCAAGTTTTGTGGAGGGAGGGTAGAGAGTCCAAATCTTTCGAGGGCGCAAATCATATCCAATTCCAAGATGGCCTTCACTGTTGAGTATGTGAACCAACAGTCCGTTTCCACATCCGAGATCAACAAATCTATTGTCACAAAATGAGTTATATAAATTATTTGTATCTACATAAGTCACATCTCATTTTCTGGTAGATTTGGAAATAATCTGCTATTTTTCCCGACCCCCTGGGACCAAGACCTTTAATTTGAGTCCTCCCTCATCATTCTGTGAGATGTCAAACTTCTTTACCGAGTTCGTTTGTCTCTTATTGTTTTAAATTGAGCCGGGAATATACCAGTCAGTAGAGATAAATTGATTATGTGTAGCAGAGGAATGTAAATTATGAGTGCGTTTTGTTTGAGTAAATCAGCGGAGGCCTCGTCCAGACCGGGAGCTGAGCCACCACGCAGCCCAGAGATATGTCGTAGTACGTCTTGTGCAGAATCAAGAATCAAGAATCAAGAATATTTATTGTCATCGAAACACAAAAAAACAGTGTATTGACAATCGTCACAACTTAGATCTAACATGAAATATACAATGTCAAGTGAAATGCATATACAAATATACATACATAGTTATATAATAAGAGAATAAACAAATTGTTTAATACATAATCAAAATCTTAACAAGATTAACACTAGACCTCAAAATTTTTTTGCATTGAATAACATGAGTGAAACTGAAATTTAAATAGATTGATCGAAGGATTTAGTTGTACATTTCCCAGCATATCTCAAAAAAGTCTTCAATTGTATAGGGTCGCTCATTAATGAGTACATTTTTTATTTTATTTTTGAATTTAGTTTCTGGCAGTGACTTTATATTTTTTGGTAAAGAATTATAGAGAAACAGTTTTCAATGTAAAAGTAGAATCCAGTCTGTAGTCAGAGTCAAAAACCACCGGGGTCCCGCCCGCATCTATCTGATTTGATAAATTTTCTCCAACAGAAGCAAAGAAGTTGTTAAAATCATTTGCAATCACATGTTTTGTGGCATGTTTCTTGCGTATGATCAGACGTGTTATGAATTTACTTTTCAATTGGATATGAGTTTTTATTACATGATCATTGATCAGTTCCCAAAATAATTTGGGATTGTGACTGTACCGGTTGAGTCTTTCCCTGTAAAAATCTCTTTTGGCTCTCTTTAATAGACTGCTCAGGTTTTGTCTGTAATTCCAGTAATACGTTTGTAGATTAAAGTTATGCATGCACAGATTTGCCATCAAGCATTGGCATATATTTATATATAATTCCACTCGGCTTATACGTAAACGAAATTTGCTCTCCATATATTTCTTATGGGAGTGAAATACTATTTAAAGATGTTTAAAAAGCATTCTTCATTTGAAAAATTTAATCAGACAAGTTTAAATTCACTAAGTCTGCAGGTTTGCTGCGGCGAGGGTATTTTTAAAATTTATAATCGTTATTATGGACAACCTAATTCGACTATGAGTGGGAAACATTTGTAGAAAACAATAAAAATCAAGATCATCTTTTGAAATAACGCCTATAATACTTTGCAATTGCTTGAATTCGAGCAACAGTTACACTAGTTTATATTAACTAGTTAACCTGTGCGGCTCAATGCCCCGCAAAATAACATATGAATTAAAAAACAAATTCATCGTGTTATATTTGACTCGACGTCGACAATTAAATACGGTAGGCTAATAATAAAGCCTTAGAAGGGAAGCAGTCCAGCTATTTTCTAGCTGTATGTGTATTATAAATAATAATAATGTGTATAACGTGTATTGTAAATTAATAAGGGTTCTAGTTCACGTATGTTATAGCGTAGTTATTTTTAAAGATTTTTAAAAACACATTTAACAAAACATTTAATATACAGTATCAAACTAATAGGCCTATGTAGCATATTTTGAGGGTCATAAAATGCTGCTTAAAGAAACCACTTGAAAAAAAAACACTAAAAACCAAAATGTTTATCTTCGAAATCAAAACATATCCCCACTCACTTGTTCCAGTTAGGACTTTACATTCTATTAAGTTGTTAACCGTTCTGATAACATGAAGCCTTGTGCCATTAATGATACCCTTTTTATGTATTCCTCATCAATAAAACCACTACCCCCTTTTATTAGTCTAATCTGTGTCTTGGCAATCCACTGACATCTATATTTAAAAACTCAGTTGGATTTTCTAGATGGGTGTCTCCGCCTTCCTGTTTTCGAGGACCCACTCTTCTCCCCCTTGGCATACTGACAATTAATCACCTAACTTGTCAAGTTCATGTAGTAATTCATTAATACTGTTAGTTTATAAATAAAATTAGATAAAAGTTACTTAGCTTGGTGCTTTCATAACTGCAAACTCAAACAAGTAAAAAAGAATCAAGTTACAGTATTGGTAAAAAAAAAACTATGTTTGTGTAGGGTAACAACATTATCCAAATGAAGTAGATGATTTGTTTGATTTGTCGATCAGCTGTTTGGTTTCAAATTAATTAATAGTGTCAAAGATTTGTGATTTAAAATACATAAATTATTATAGTACCGTAAAGTTTTCTTAATCATGGTAACTTATTCTCAACCAAATTTTACTATTCCCAGCATTAAAATAAAGTAGTAAGATCCATTATGAGTAATCTTTAAGGTACACAATCCATGATTGAAATGTAGTATACGAGTGATAATTTAAAAACGTACGTTTTCAGGAAAAGCACTTTGCAAATTCTTTACCCCTTTTTTCAAAACTTTTATTATTATTTTTATTTCATTAACATTTGAAGTTTCATAAAATGTCCATGGTAACGCAATATCTTTGGTAGTTTCTTTTTAAAAGAGCATCTTTAGTGGAAAAACACAAAATCCTGTCACGACCATAACGGACGTTTAAATGAATATTAAAAATAGTTAATTTTATTTTTATAACTATGTTTTGCTATAAACTTATTTACTTTTATGACCATTATACAATAAAAAGGTCACTGAGCTTTTGGTGTATTTGGTCTTTCTAGAAAAAAATAAAAACATTCAAAAACTCAAAAAAAAATGCCAATAAAATCTTTTTAAGTTTGTATAACTCCGAAAAAACTTACCTGAGACCCGAAAAATTAATATGTTTGTATAGAGGTGTGCTTCTTTTGTGTATAAAACATTGAAATATGACGATATTTTAATTTTTTAAATTTTTATGATAGAAACCATAAACGTGATGGTCAGGGACAAGCGGTACGGTCGTGAATTGTCTGGAATAATCTAAATCTTTCTAAACAATCCTTCAATTATCCTGTTAGTTATAATAAAAATATGTGTTTCAATTGAACTAAACTGTTCAATTTACAATTATATTAAAGTTATTGTCACGACCAAACACACTATAATCCATAAGGCTGGATTGGTCGTGAAAAAACCCGCGATGGTCGTGAAACTTTGGTCGTGAAATTACGTGTTATTTGGCTCTGTTCTGGCTGTAGCCCTGCACCTCATGTTCGAGGATACAAAGTGGACTTCTAGGTTAATCTAGCAATTGAAATATCTTATAATCAAAAATTAACACCATGTCTACTTCATCGAATGACTACGTACGGTCATGAACACGCCAAAATTACAAAAAACACAATCTTTCCTTTATTAATCTTGTAATTCCTCCTTTCAACTCGAAACGGCCGGCACTACAATCCTGACATACACCCCGAACTAGTCTCTAAAACCAACTGACTCCATCGACGCCAGGCTTGCCACTGTCGTGCTCCAAAGTTGAAAATTTTCCCCAAATGGTCGTGACGCCAAATTGAGGGACAGACTTATTTTGTCATGGTAGTCAGTTTGTAATGACAATAAAATTATAATATGCTCCTTTTTTGTAATTTTAATAACCATTGATGACATAAAAATATGGCTTTATATATTTCGGCATGAATAATTAGTCTAAAAATAGCGTGAAAGTTGGAAAATGTACCCTAGGGACACGTCATGGTCGTGAATTTCGAGACTTTAAAAATACGAAAGAAATACCTAGAACCTATTTAAAACCAAATAAATGTGTGTAACATGTTGCCCCCGTCCCAAAAAATATTAAAACAAATAATAATAAACTACAAATCCAGTATCTACGAAGTAAAAGGCCAGGGACATGAAAACGTACATTTTTAAATTTTCACTCATACATGAACAGTCATAATACACAGAAATTATTATGTAGTAGACTTTGAATATTTTTAAGTAACAAACATATGTTTCTGTAAATAAAAATTATCCACCCATGTTATCCTTATGGAGAAATACAAAACTTAAGGGCCCCAGGGCCTCATTCTCTAATTATTTACCTAAAAAGAAAGTTTCCTGCACAACTTCACGTTACACTCTTTCCAATGAGACCAAAAACATGTCAATCGATTCAGTAGTTTCGGAGGAGTAATTGTCACAAAAATCCTGCTTGCGTATTAAGTAAGTACTATTGAACCTGTGCGGCTCAATGCCCCGCAAAATTACATATGAATTTAGAAAACATTCATCGTGTTATATATTGACTCAACGTCAAAAATTAAATACAGTAATAATAAATCCTTAGAAGAGAATCAGTCCAGCCATTTTCTAGCTGTATGTGTATTTTATTTAGTAAATTAATAAGTGTTCAAGTATGTTATAGGGTAGTTATTTTTTAAAGATTTTTAAAAACATATTTAACAAAACTTTTTATCATATCAAACCAATAGGCCTATATAGCATATTTTGAGGGTCATAAAAATACTGCTAGAAGAAAACCCTTTTAAAAATAAACACTAAAAACCAACATTTTAACCACAAAAGCACTTCCATCAATACTACTATTTTTGTGTTAAAGTTGCCTTCAGGAAGATTACCCTCGTCAAAATTGTCCATAATGATTATGTGTAACCTATTAAAAGATGTAGCCTTACTTAAAACAACATATAATATAGTTGCTCATGACTGAAATTGGTCTGGGTAAGAACAGTGCTGCTCTTTAATTAAAGTGCTTAAGTTACTTGGCTTGGTGCTTTCATAACTGCAAACTCAAAATACACCCACAAGTAAAAAAGAATCAAGTTATTGGTTGTGTAGCCTATTTTTGTGTAACAACATCATTCACATGAAGTAGATGATTTGTTTGATATTTGATTAGCTGTTTTGTTTCAAATGAATTAATAATGTCAAAGATTATTGATTTTAAATACATAAATTATTGCAGTAAAGTTTTCCAAATCATGGTAACTTATTCTCAACTAAATTTTACTATTCTCAGCATTAAGATAAAGTAGTAAGATCCATTTATGAGTAAACTTTAAGGTATACAAAACTTGATTGAAATGTAGTATACATTAACAGCCATAATACACAGCAATTATTATGTAGTAGACTTTAAGTAACAAACATATGTTTCTGTAAATAAAAATTATCCCCTATGTTATCCTTATGGAGAAATATGAAACTTTAAAGGGCGCCAGGGCCTCACTCTCTAATTATTTCCCTAAAAAGAAAGTTTCCTGCACAACTTCACGTTACGCTCTTTCCAATGACACCAAAAACATGTTAATCAGTTAAGTAGTTTCGGAGGAGTAATTGTCACAAAAAAAATGCTTGCGTATTAAATAAGTATAGATAGATAGATTTTATAACCAGCCAGGTACTATGGTTACCGTACCTCATAGTAGTTGTTAAAAAAAGGAAACTCACTTTAAACTTATTTTATCTATTTCGAAATATATTAAATGAATTAAAATTAATTGTTTGAGATTACCTTTGTTTGGTTTTTCCAGCCCACAACAAAAGAAGGTACGTAGCAATACCAATGTCTTCATAGACAAACTTGAATGGATCTGTGTTCTCAGGCCAAATCTGTAAAACACTATTCTCATGCAATATTATGCAAGTTATACATAATAATGTAACAAAAACCCAAATAAGTTAAAATATAATAGTTTATTAGTTTTAATAACACTGTAAAACAATGATTACATATATATTATTTGCTTAGTCATCAACATATCTTTAGGTGTGCATACGCTTCGCCACTGATGTTAATGTCCTATTAAAACAAATAAATTGATTTTCCTTAAATTTATGTAGGCCCTAGATTTTTTTAATATTTAAAATTAAGGTAGGTAACCTAAATAATCTTTACCTTAACAAGTTGTTTTCCATATTTTTCTTTTAACCTGGTATACAAAGATGTGTATTCTGATACAACAACCAAGCGTAGAGAGGTTGTGACATCTTTTACATTTTCTTCTGAAATATTTTTCATCCATTTAACTAATTTAGGCGATAACTTGCCAACAATCCATTGGCAACTGGCATCAATTGATTCAACTCCTTGTTCCACCCAACATTTAAACATCGTTTGTTCAAATGAAAAAGCATATGAAAAATTTGGACCAATGCTATTTTTGTCAGTACATAAATTTATAAAACTTATTTGTTTCCTGTTGATATCTGCAACAAATGGTTAATATATTTTCATTAAAAGTATATTTACCTACATCTCTGTGTTTAAATACTGAAGGGCAACTGTAGGAAGATAAAACAACTTATTGGCCAAAAACAGTAGGCCTAGGCATACATTTATTATGCAGCAATAATAATCAAGGATAAAAGTAAATCTAATCTTGTAGATGTGTAAACTAAGTCAACAACAAAAATGTATGTCAAGCACACAAAAATGCCAACAATACATTAACAAAATTATATGTGTTTGCACAGTACAGGTGCGGATCCAGGATTTCATTGGGGGGGGGGGAGTTTTTGTAATTTAGTCAATGAAACTACCATTTTAGGCACTATATTAAAGTACCTATTTAACAACAAAAAATGCATATACCGATGGTGGTTTCTCCGATTTTTAACTACTTAGGCTATACACTTTTTTTTTTATTTTACTATATTTTACTTAATACCTTTAATTTATTTTATAAATTAAAAAACCTGGTCAACTGTAAAAATTTTATGATTAGAATCTTTAATTTAGTTCTCCATAATTTTATATACAGTACCTTAATGCCTACAATTTTAAAAATAACAATAATAATTATAATAAAAAAGTGGCTTTTAAAATTATAAGAATTAACTTTTTCAGTAACTATTCAGTAAGTATTAAAAACTAGCTGATCTGACACAGTAAGTGCACTAAATGGATGGAAAAGAAACAATAAAAACGTATGAGTAACTGTATCAAAATTTATTAGTAATTGTAAGTTTTAACAATTTGCATAATACATAATTTACTTAAATTTACAAGTATGAAACAGACATTTGGGGTTAGAACTCATCGTGTTTACATCAGTTCACAAGCCTTAGTACACTCAACGCTCGCATCAATACGCCTAAACTGACACTGACGATGACGTTGACTGCGGAGCCCAGACGCGTCAGTCATTAGAGCACTAGCGATTTGAGCGATATACGGATATGCTGCAACTACTTACTCACACTCGATCCACCGCACCGTGCCTTTCAATAATTTATGACTCTGGCAACCTCTATAAATTAAATATTTTTTTCATCTTTTGTATAAGTTAATGATTTGAAATTTGAAGATTTTGAGTACATTACTTTTATATTTGTGACATCATTAATTACCGCTTTGTATGGCTTATACCCCTGTGCCCCCCCCCCCCCCCCCCCCACCCCTCTGGATCCGCCCCTGCAGGTACAGTATATGGCAATGGTGTAATTTAGATTAAACGTAGGCCTAATTCCAAATTACTGTATCTTACTTGCACCTGTGATGTCTATTAACTTGGCGCTTTTACCTTCAGGCTCATTCTTTTCCTGGGGTAAAAAAATTTGTTAAGATGCTATACAGTAGAACCCCTTATATCCGACCATGACTGGACTGGGCCATGGTCGGAACGGCATCCCCGTGACATCGGTTGTGAGGGTAACTAGCAGTCTCCGCGACTTCGGTAATCATTTCTCATGACCGTGGCAACACCTATGAGGGTAACCTGCAGTCTCTGCAGCTTCGGTAATCATCACCCGCGACCGCAATAACACCCGTGAGCGTAGCTTGCAGTCTCCGCGACTTCGGTAATCATCTCACACGACGATGACAACACCTGTGAGCATAACTAGCAGTCTCCGCAACTACAATAATCGTCACCCGAGACAGCAGCAACACCAGTCAGGATGACGGGTGCAACAGAGGAGGGGATGACCTATATAGAGTAAAACACGTGTACATATCGGCTCTGTGATTTTGCTCATTTTCTCATTTACAACTGGAAGCCATTTATCTAAAACTCTATTTTTTCGTGAAGTGTTAGAAGTGACATTTTAAATTGTGATTTTTCAATGTCAACTTTGATGAATGTAAGTAATTTGTGGTGATTATTTAAATAACAACCTCAAAGACATTCATGTTCCGATAGCCTCAAAAGCTACGCTCAGGATCCAAGGGCAAGCCGGTGCTGTTATCTAGTGGCGAAGGATGAAATCTACAGCGTTCCTTATCAGCTCTGTCAGCGTCTCCGACTTCAAGTCCACTCGTCAAGAAAACAACAATGCCTTCTACCAGCGATAAAATTGACGGCAGCGCTACTCGCCGCAATACAGGAGGCTGTGGAGAAGGCTTTTAATATGGCTGTGGAAGCGGCTTTAAACACCTTTAATGAAGTCATTGTTAAGCTCAAATATGATGAGCTAAGCCTGCAAAAAAAGATTAAAGATCTTGACGACACTCTAGCGGATGAGCTCGAACAATATCAGAGGCGAAATAATATCCGTCTGTTCAGCATCAAGGAGAAAGAGCGTGAAGAAACTGACGCGATAGTGACCAGGATCTGCCACGACAAACTCGGCATAGACATTCAAGTGGACGCTATTTCATGATCACACTGTGTTGGCAAACAAGGGTCGACAGATGAGGAGGGAAGATCGCGCCTTCGTCCCATCATCGTCCATTTAACATCGTACCGAATTAGGCGGATGGTGTTCAACTCAAAGAAAAAGCTCAAGGGTACTGGCGTAGTCATTAAAGAAGACCTTACACATCGCCGTCAAGATTTGTACAGAAGAGTGGTGTCGCGGTACGGAAGCAGGAACGTTTGGACCATGGACGGTAGAATACTGTGGACAGACAACGGAGATTGGTGGACCTCCTGACTGACGTTCAAAATGACACTACTGTTGTTCTAGATAAGATCTAGTTTATCTTTAGCTTTAAACTGTTTTATTTATTACTCATGCACACAAATTTGTTATGATAAATTCTAGTTTTTTAATTTGGAATTCAAATAACAAAATATTTCAATAATTGGTAAGGGGTTCATTAATTTATTTCTGTATACAAGAGCATGATCAAGTTAAAAAAAGTAAAATTATTTTTTTACAAACCTCTTAATGGATAAAAAACTGGATATTTATTTTTGTTTGGAATCTCTCGCTTCACTTAAATAACAAATTTACAAAAATTATCAATTTTTGTCAAATTATATAACCACGGCAAACTGTTTCATAGACCTACTGTATTCATATTTTAGCAGCATATGCAAATGCCAAAAGCTTACCTTGTGTCCAAAGTATAAATTGTCACACGTAAATATTATGAAAATATCTTGACTTTGTTATTCATCTCATTTAATTTTAGGAATGAGTTTAGTTTTATCGAATTTTTAGTTTCTTTAGAAGCACCTGCCAGTCTGTCTGAAGAGAAGTTGGATACATCCGCTTCCCGTCCGGAACATCAAAAACCATAAGCGGATATATCCGCCACCCGTCCTTTATCGCCAAAGACTTAGGCGGATATATCCGTCACCCATCCGGGAAGGGTTAATATGTGAGAAACAGTATTTGTGAGACCAAAAATTCTGTATTTTTGTTATGGTGCCCACAAACATCATTTGCTAGTGACCGGCGATTCTGGGCGCCATTTTTATTGCTAAAAAACAGAACAAAACACTACTTCCATCCTGGATCCTCACTTCTGCGAACAAAAGTTCTAGGCTAAGATTTTATGGAAACAAAATTGTTGGCCCTGGGAAAGCACCCACTGATATTTTTACCACACTCAATGTTAATGAAAACACACTTTGATATTTTGATGTTCTGTCGTTTTGTTCTGATTTGTCAGAATCAAGAGGGATACGAGGCTGGGGTAGCAGAATTCTCTCCCCCTGAGCAAAACTGACGTCACCAACCAGTGGGTAAAATTCCGGCCACAAACTTTTGAGTTGCCCAACATCAGTTCAATAAATTAAAGAAGGAATTAAAACTATATTTTCAGACTTGTGAATTTAATCAGAACACAAATTATAATACCTAGAATGCACAGGTCGGAATTTTACCCCTTGCCTAAACACGTTATATGGACAGGGGGTAAAATTCCAGTTTGATTGCTAGTCTAATTTATCATGCTCTGTCTATTTTCATTAGACTCCCAAATCCGAGGGGGTAAAATTCCGCCTGCAATCAAACTTAAGAGTGCTCAGGTTAACCTACTATGTCATAGTTGCGTCAGCTTTGCCCAGGGGGATAAAATTCTGGTGACCCGGATTTCTTACATGCTTTTGATGCAGTTGTAGAGTTTAAACTCAAGTTTAAAGTGTGCTCAAAGTGTCTGGTATATCAGTAAACAAATTTACAACCTGCTCTTTGTGGGTTTTCTATAAAAAATTAAAATTTTCTCTGTGGCTCTGATATTGATTTATCAAGGTTGGACAGAATTATTTTTCCTTTATTTCCAAAAACAGGTGTGTACCCTAGTTATAAAATTAGCGAATACATAAAGAAACAATTCAGTCTAGTAATACATTCAATACCAGGTAACTTGTTCGTTTGAAAAAATTATAAAAAATATCAGTTAAAAATTCACTCACCTTTAACTATGATTTCAAACTGGTGCTTAACAAAAGAATTTTTTGAAAGAAGCTTTCTAATTATGGAAATTGCGGAGTTAGGCCTACTTTCTTCACCCTTTATATCATCTAATGGCTTGTACTCGTTTTGTAACAACATTTTGATATTTGGTTCCTTTTTGTGGTGCAAAAGAAATTGTTTTATAGATGTGAGCTTTTGATTGTTATCTAAATGGATAATGGCTAATATTTCAGCTCCTAATAATCGTCTGTTGATTATGTGCGGCCTTTCTGAATAAATATCGAAGGCTTTCCAAAACTGAACTTCAGATGCATCAACATTGAAAGCCTGGATTACTTTCCATTGTTGAATTTCATTTTCCATCTCCATTTTTTCTAATAAATATCTTCACCCTAGAACATTAAAGTCATCTGTGAGATATATTTGACTTTTATAATGTGATGTAGATAAAAAATTTTATATAAAAAATTCTACAATATAATACGAGTAACGTTTATTGTTAAGACGATTCCCTCTAAATTGTTAGATATATTCTTAGTTTTAGGCTAAAACAATATTTATGCTAGGCTCTGTTCAGGAAAAATCTGTTTTTCACAAAACTTTACATGAAATCTTAATATTTTTAATATTGGCCTTATTTATGGGTTGCCAAGTAGCCACGTGGTGATTTTACAAAAATGTAAACAAAAGAATCATGATAAAAAACTATCTACAGTATATACTAGCAATTTACAAAATACAGTGGGATAAATACAACTGTTCAAAAACCTAGAATCCTTTACTGCAGAGTATTATAGCACGGCCATCTTTAACTCCAGGCTGCGGCGTTCGAAGTGGCAAAACTGTCAGTACTGTAGAGCTGTTTTGTTTGGAGGCAGCTAATTATTATTACAACCATAATAATAATAGAATCCATATTTTCTAGGCTCACAATGCACCCAATAACAATAAGTAAATAATAAAATACCCCCGCCGCAGCAAACCTGTCAACTAAGCGAATTTCCATTTGTCTGAATTGATTTTCAATTAAATATATTTTAATAACATTAGGTTTAACGAGTACCTAGGTTTGCTACTACAAGGAAACTAATACAGTGTGTTTTTTAGTAAAATATTGATAGCTTAGTACAAAATAAATAAATTTTCCAAGTTTGATGAAAATATATCCATAAACAAGCAAACTACAACATTTGACAATATTCTCCATAAGAATAACATGGGAATTTTAAATTTACAATTTTTTTAATTTTCTCCGTTACTAATAACCGAACAAAAACACTTTAATATACTAAATTATTTGTTTTTTTAAGCTCTTTAAAAGGGTCTAAAGAGAAATTGGGAAATTTTGTGTTTTGAGGGTCAAAAGTGAGAAAAACCAATTTTTACCCCATAAAACGGGTGAGGTTCATAACTCCAAGTTTTCATAACTCCAAGTACTTTTAAATACAACATTTCATAACTCCAAGTAAAATTATGTCCAGAGTAAATTAAAACCAAAATATCATAAGACCAAGTTTCATAACTCCAAGCGTTCATAACTCCAAGATTCATTACTCCAAGTTAAAATAAAACCAAGTAAATTAAAATACAAAATTTCATAACTCCAAACGTACAGATTTGCAAGGACCACAAGTCCAAGTTTCATTACTCCAAGGGTTCATAACACCAAGTTTCATAACTCCAAGTGACAATGGGTACAGTCCGTGCAGGAAACGATAATGTACGCACACACACGCACCCATTACACACACACATGCTGGAAGCGAGTTTCCGATGTTGGCGAGACTATTCGAAGTGGTGCGTTCCCTGTCGCTTTGCACGTTCGTCTAAATTGTAATACAAATAGTGAGAGGATGAAATTTACATATTTAAATTCTGCGTAAACTGATGTTTAATACTATATAAATACAATTTAGTTCGTGCAGATGATTAATGTTTAATAATGGAAAATATGAAAAGGTTGTTCAATGTAAACATGAAAAAGTAAGTGAGCGAGGATTTTTTTTATTTTTTGGTCAGATGAAAACTTTCAGCAAGAAAAGTATAGATAATAAGATGTTCTTCAATTTTTGTTCCAAACATTTTTTCGTAAGACTTTTAGTTTGTCCAATAATCGACTTAGATGACCACCACGAGGTATGAATGAATTAGTTTACGCGCACGGTATTTTAGCAATAATTGCCGTCTTCCAACAACAATATTAAGGAAATACAGTATTAGTTCACGTTTTAAAATTTTTAAACTATGAAAAATATTTAGTCTTAACTTCTTCAGCTGTATGTACAAAATTTCGAAATTTTTTCTACATAATATTCGTGATGCACAACGCAAATAAGTCGTAGTGCCTTTTTTCCACTATTTTTCATCTCCTATTTTTCGGAAAAATTTACACAGGATTAATCCACGTTAAGGTTTCATCTTGTAGCATTCATTTGTAAATATAAAATTTGATTATAGTTACAATTACTTGTTCCCTCATAAATCTTTATTCCGTAACAAATATGAGAGTGTATAGTGTGTATAGTGAGTGCAAAGTAAATTGTACGCAAAATGTCTGTAGTGCATAATGGGTTTAATAAAAAAAATACCATATTTAAAATTTTTAAAATACTATCTAGATTTGTATGATCCAAACAAGCGGATATAATCCATAGATAGGTCTAAACATTTGGATTTCGAGACTAAATTATCATAGAAATATGTTTTTGAGTAAATACATCTATACTTAATACCAGATTGTTTTATTTGAGTTAAATAGAAGGTATTTATCATTTAGGTATTATTTAAGTACCTTAATGAGATACCAAAACTCGACCACAATCGAAATAAAATATTAACTTATCTATATTCATCCCGCGCTGAAAATCAAACATGTGATGATTGTGTACCAGTCTTCAATTTGTTTTGATTTTCTGTATATTTATCGTTGTTATTGCGTCACCAGAATTTTGACTCATAATCCAAATGTTAGTTTTTTGTTTATGTTAAATTCGTTTTCGTACTTATTTTTCATCATTTTTTTAATTTATTAAGTTGTTCTGTTTATCTACAGGAAAATATGTTTCTAAAAGTATGCGTAGATTTTCCTTGCGATGCACACAAGCTGAGAAAAGGGCCTTAAAGAAACATATTTGCCTATTAATATGTAGATATAGCTAATACTTGTCATACCAATAAGGAGAATAAATAAGCAGACACAAGAAGGATCTTATTTAAGAAACATAATTTAATGTAGGCTATTCTAATAGCCAGTGAAATTTATTTTTGTAAACCTCACAAGAGAGATAATAGTAATAATAATCGAAAGTATATAGTAAAATTAGTGGGATTCTGTTAACTGCCGCAAACATTTTATCAGTACTGTTCACCTTCGTACTGTAGTACTGGCTCATCCCTTGCTTTGCTGGATACGTTGCACGCACAGATCTGTAGTCTTATGTGGACGGGCAAATGTTAAAAATTTTTAACAGAGACCACAGACCTCTTTGTTTCCCTAGTTGGAACACATAATTCTTCATCCAAACTCTATGGGCCTTGAGAGTCACTTAATTGTATACACAACATATGTAAGCAATATCAGTTGTGTGTTTTAGCTAATATCCCATATAGGGAATAAACTATTACCGTAGTACTCATGTAAGACCTGGACCCGGACGGAATTAATTTTCGTTTTGAGATCCCTAGAGGCCAAAAACACCATCCGTTCCTTTATTGTTACATTTTTTAGACAAATTAAAATATGATATTATGGAGCTATTTATGTTGCAAGCGCTAATAAGTGGATGATACTTAAATAATTTGTAGAGAACGGATTGTCCAATTAATTTGTTTGTGGCGTCAAACCATATGTTTATGAGAGTAAGGAATCTGTTACCAATACTAACTAGTGTACATTTTGCTCGAATTCGAGCAATTGCAAGGTACTAGTATTACAGAAATTATTTCAAAAACAATAACAGTATATTTACAATGAGTTTAAAAGAGTCAACTCAAAGCTTACTGGTGTGTATCATATGGAGATACTCACGATGTACATAACAGTAATCAACATTTCCTAAAAATATATATAGCCGCATAAGGTTGTCCATGTTTATCTTCGTTATTGATAAACCTATGCATGCTACCACCCTTGTCGCCAGCAGGAGTTTACAAATTTCATTCATTCTTTAATAAGGATAGAATCTGTTTTCATCACCATAAGGACTTCCTGTTGTCTGTCACAATTTTATTTGTTCAATTGGTGTATTTTTTGTTTAGTTGCAATAACGTTAATTACATTTAACTGAGAAAATGCAAAGTTAAAGACCTTCTGTCGTTCAGTTGATTTTTGTTTCCCTTAGCATTATATGAATAATAATTAAAAGCCTTCATTAAAATGTTAGTAAGGGGCTCTTGGATATTTTCATAGGATATTATTAAAATTGTTTGACTTTTATGAAAACATAGATTAATGTCATTGACGTACCAGATTTATTTGGCTTTAGAGGGTTTTCCTCTGCAATGATCACAAAGTTAAGTCCATAAAATTTGTAGCACATCAGCTAACATCCTCGTTCATAGTTTGTAGGAATCTGAATCTTGTAGGTGTTCTTCATTATACAGGCTAATGACGATAGTTAATTCTTTAAAAAAATATTATCTCTATTTCTTCTACTAGGGGGCGTTCTATGACTTTTAATGTTTCAATAATTTGCAAATGGGTTCTTTCAATGATTTATTTTTTAAAGATCTAATTTTTGTAGGACGCTTTTCTTTGAAATGCAGCTTAAATATTGACAGCAATTAAATTATATAGCTGATCAAAATTTTAACAATTATGATCTTCATAAGGATAACATGGGAACCTTCAAAGCCACTGGGGTAGAGCCCAAGGGACTTTTTCAAATCCAGTTCAAGACCAGTTTGCAAATCTACGCGACACGTTCTTTCCAATGATACGTCAATGGATAAAATCGGTCAAGAAATGACGGAGGAGTTCAACCGACAAACTTCGTGTTCGCGTATTAATTATATAGATCTACGTATCACGTTTCGTTTAGCATACAGGCAGGAAATGTCGCTCATTACGAAAATATTTATTAATTCTTTTAATAATGACTCTAGAGAAGAGTTAGAAAATTAAAAGGTGTAGAACAATACAGCTAACAAAAGTGGTCCTGTAACATTTGGTCATAACTTGAACCCATATGACATTATGGATCCTTTCATGTTCTGGAATTGATGGAGAGTTGCGTGGAGGGGCGAGCAGGGGCGTGTGGGACTTTTTTAGTATCCATACTGGCAACCTGCCTGCCGCTTACTTCGAATTGTCAATATTACCAACATGACGTGGCTTCCGTGCCCCGTCTTCTGAACTGCCCGTTTAAAAAATGTAAATTTAAGCAAGAAAGGC